CTATCTGATTTTTTTCTGTCGAGTTGTATCAGGCCAATATCAATCCCAACTTCTTGTGATCAATGGAAACCACCATTTGTTGACTGCTTTGTAATTTCAGGGGGAAAAAAAAGGATCCAAATTTTGATCACGGTATCATATAGTCATGTGTATCCACTAGCCATACAGGCAGCACTTTTTAGGCAATTTCAACCTCTTTTAACCAGCTTTCAGTTGCTTATACAATTAAATTAATTGAAAGAATGAAAGTAACCTACCATTATGATATTTAATTGACTGGAAAACTTTGATCAGAGTTACAGAAGTAGATAGAACGTAAGATTGTAAGGACCTGAATGTAACCTGTCCATGATTCCGATTAATAATGATCAGATTTTTTGCTGCATTTAGTCCGATTTCCCAGCAGTCAGTATTAGACATTTGATACTTTTTTTAACATCAACAGAAAATCAATTTGAAATTAAGGTGAAATGATCAAATTGTTAAGTGTACTGCAGCAATGGTGTATTTTAAATGTTCTGTGGTTAATGCCGGCCGTATACTTGGCAGTTTTGTTGGCAGTTATGGAGCTTTCTCTCAGTTTTTATCAATAGCAATCTTCCAGCAACGGTTTCAAAGCTTTTTGTGGTCAAACAATAGAAGTCTGTGGGGGAAATTGATTTAAGCTGCTGCAGTGCCAGTTAAAAAGGAATTTTCAATGGACTTATACGGCAATTTTGGTTATTTGTTCATTTGCAACTAGGAAAAAAATGGAAACAGTGGACAGTAGATTGCTGTTTTTTTACTGACTCTGTTGCTATTTTAATATATTAAGAAAATACCCACCACAAAGAAACTACAGTGTGAAGAATCTTCCACGTCTGACACAGGAGTGTTTGAAGTCCAGTTCCCCTCTGAGCATGGTTCCTTCTCCTGGCCTTTATGTAATTACATTGTCCTGTAGCAATGTAGGGGCAGGTGGATGCGACCACACAGGGCAGAGGAGGCCCAGTCATTTTGTTTACTGCACCTTTGAGAGACAATGGTCACTAGGATTAAAAAAAAGAGGTGAATTTCTCCAACGTGGACACCAACAGCAATAAAAACCTGTCAGCTATTTCCTAGTTTATCTAAAAACAAAACAAAAAGAATGGCTGGAGATAAACTTCAATATGACACTTTCATACTCTGAAGCTGTAATCATTCTAAAATGAGTACAATATTGTGTCTGTCCTTGTTTAGATTTTACCATATTGTTGTCCCCAAATACAGCTCAGTTGAAGTTACAAAAACATATATAAAGTCAGATAGACAATGTTTTAGCAGCCTACATTTTCATACTCTTACCTTCAATTTCTTTGTTACAGTAGCAGTACATGTTGCCTAAATATCACTGTCCAGTCCAAAAGGCATCAGAGTAAGGGCCCGTTCCCCCCCAAATTGGAGGTCTGTTTACTTCCAGTTTCAACCGCCGTTGACCCTTGTTCTGTTCCATTGAGTTGTTTTTTAAGGCTATAAGATGCCTTATAGCCTTAAAATGGTGACAACCTATACCTCCATCTTATGAAGAATTATTGCGAAGGATTCATGATATTCATAATTTGGAATATCTAACGGCTCGATTGCATAATACTATTCCCGAATTTGATAAGGTGTGGTCCCCCTGGCAAACACTCGAGAGAACTAGGAGCGATGCCACACTTCCTGATGTTCTTCATTTCCCGTGAGTACGAGTATGAGTACGAGATAAGATTTCCCCTTTTTTTTTCTCCTTCCCCTCTTTCTTTGGATTATACTATTGTTCAATTTAATTACATTACTTTATTTTTGTTTCATACCCCTGTATCTATGTTAAAACCTAAATAAAAACAAAATGGACTAAAAATATATTTTTCTTTTGTTTTGCCAACCTCTATTTTAATTAACATGTCCTGAGTGGACATGCTCTACTTTTCTTTCAGCGCACTGCAATCTATCAGAACGGAATGCAGTGAACAGGTCCCATTCACATCCATTCATTTTTTGGGTTACATTCCTTTGGCATCCATTGAAAAACGGATTGCAACAGATTGCAATGGATATGGTGTGAATGGGGCCTAAGACCTACTACTCTATGTAATGTAACAAACCTGATCAGTCATGTTCCCTCCACTCTACTCACAAGTATCCTCACTCTATGTTAGGATACTTGTGCTGAAGGGTGTAGCTGATACTCATCTTTGCCAACACAGAGCTCTGCATTGTGAAGGCTGGAGGCAGAATTCTTACTGAGAGAAATAGGTAATTTGAGGCATTTACTAGCAAATAAAAATCAGTCACAAATCATAGCAGAGGTACAAAACCACGAAGAGATGAAGAGGTATGAAACTTTAATGGGCTCCATGGGTGAAAGATGACTACAAAACATTGACCCTGCCAGTCCTTGTCTGAGTATTTAGTAGAGATGATTTGGAAATTGCAATAAATATATTTCATTTTTTACTCCTCCTCTGTTTACTTTTTATTGTATTGTATTCGAGAAGTATTGTCCTCCCTGTTTTCAAAGCACACACACAATTTTGTTTGGATATACAGTATTAATAACACTCCTACCAAGAAAGGGATGGTAATAAAGCCATTTTTCTGTTCGAAATGGCGTTATTAATTGAGCCGAATTCCAACATGCTGACACATGCATTAGGAGTATTATATAGAATAAGCAAAAAGATTTCTAAGCACCGAGAGCATCCATTTATTTTGAATACCTCTTTAGAAAAACGACAAACAGCCGAGCTATTGTGTGAGCTTTATGGCGTCGCGTGTGTTTCTACCTCATCTTTTTTATTTATTTCATTTAAACAAGAGATGGTAGTGTGTAAAATGGAATGCAATGTTTTTCATGTTGTTAAATACACGTGTGTGTGTGTGTGTTGATAAACGGACAATAATTTTCATATTAAAAGCTTTTTGGGTGTTGTGAAAGCAAGTGAAGCTGCACGTTTGGACATCAGTTTGTTGAGTCATGTGGGTCAATCCAGCTTTTGTCTTTTAAGCAGATGATTGCAGCCTGGAAATGTGGTCTTTTAAAGGTTACTTTAGAAGCATGACCTAGAGCTTGGACACTATGTACTTTCTTTTAGCTGGAAGTCATCTTGTGGCTCAATTTTCTCATTTTAATTGCAATCTTTTTATTTTGTTATACAGTCGAATGCTTTTTGCCTAAAAGCCCTCTATGGGGAAAAATATTATGTTCTAGTAACCGTATGGGGTTGATACCTACAATGATAGCGCTTGGTATATTAATACTTTTTTATTTCTCATGCTTCATTCTCTGCATTTACATTCAGACCAAGCTGTCCAGCAACAATGACATTTGCAGAAATTGGGACAAGCCCTGTAACACTGCCAGGGGGCACTTACAACAGCTAACTTTCATTCATATGGTTTAAATATTTTTTCAAAACACAAAAATGTTGTAGCTGTAACTTCTAGAAGTATTAGCTAAAGTTTGACTTTGTTTGCTTGCTGTTAATTTGTTGTTGTTAATTACTGCATAATTTCACTGCAGAACAAACTTGGTTGTCAACCTGTTACAGGAAGTGGAAAATTATGGAATAAGTGACAAGGCAGTATTGCTGGAGGGACTATACATAAAGTATAGTGTATACAGTATATATCCAAAGTAGTTACTGTATAGAGGCACTCATGGGTCTTGCAGCAGAGATAAGTCAAAGCATCATCATTTTATTATCAGTGTATCGATGGAGCTATGATAATAAAGATGGACTAAGCTCCATCAAAATATATATATACAGAGAGAGAGAGATCACTTCCCTTTCTCCAATGCGACTGGTTGACTAGCTCTCAGTGCTGCCACATAAAAGATCTTAGCCCTGCGTTAGTTCCATGCACAACTTGGATATAACTTAGAGGGGGCTTTCACTCTTTGTTGCTGGTGTATAGATGTAGTGGCAGGAGAATAGAGTTTTGGTATGTGCTGTTGGAAGGAGGAAACACAAAAACATGTCCATAACAGTTGAAGGGAGCTTCTGTAACCATAAAGAGACTCTTAAAGCCAAATGTGCTCTTATAAACCTCACACAAAGCTACCATAACTTGCCTTTCCTAAGCCTTTCCCATTGACTTTGCTGTGTGCATCTGAAATGGCAGAATTCACCAAAATCAGCAAAAAGAAAACTCTCAAGTTCACTCTTACCTGCCCATTAGGAGGTCCAATAGGTTTTGATGACTTAGGCGGACTGAGACAATTATAGGAAAGTGTGGCATCTAAAAACCACAGTGCATAGGTCTCTGTAAACAGTTAGCTTGAGGATTAACAGTAAGCTCATAATCAGCCTTCCAGTGATTTCTGCTTGTTATTTAATATTTATGCATGACTTTATGTTGCTTTCATGAAATAGAAAGTAAGCATATTCTTGCCATGGATATAAGCTGTTATTGTCAGTGTGCGATCCATTTATGCTGTCATTTGATGGTTACCCAGAGAAGGGTTGCTAGAGATGAGCCAGCTCATTAAAAGGAGAGAACTGTGGGAGTTGCTGACTTATTTCAAGGTACAAGCTCCAGGGCTGTTAGACTGAGTTTGGCTTCACTTGCTAGTGACCTTGGAAAAGCATGCAGGGCAGGAGTACAAACATTGTAGACACATTCTTACTCCATGTCAGTGGTTCACCAGGAATTCAAACAATGATCAGTATGGTAGCCTTGTAACTTCAAGCTGTTATGGGTAGCACAGTGGTGTAGTGGTTAGCATGTTCTCTCTGTGCTTGTGTGGGTTTCCTCCAGGTTCTCCGGTTTCCCCCCATACACCAAAGATATGCTGGTAGGCTAATTCTCTTCTGTCTAAATTGGCCCCCGTATGTTTGCCTGTGAGATAGGGACCTTAGATTGTAAGCTCCTTGAGGGCAGGGACTGAGGTGAATATGCACTGTGTAAAGTGCAGATTATAGTGCTGGCACCATATGTCCACTTGAGCAGAGTATTCACAGTCAAATATTAAAACATTTCCTTGTTTCTTTCAGAGTGGAAGAAAAGAAAAAGGTGACCCACTAAACATCGCCATCGATAAGATGACCAAGAAGACACGAGACTTGCGTAGACAGGTAAGCTTCACTGTTATATATATATATAGATTATATCTATATATATATATCTATATATATATATCTATATATATATATCTATATATATATATCTATATATATATATCTATATATATATATCTATATATATATATCTATATATATATATCTATATATATATATCTATATATATATATCTATATATATATATCTATATATATATATCTATATATATATATCTATATATATATATCTATATATATATATCTATATATATATATATTTTCTCCTGTTTTACTAACTGTGATTGCCAGTATATAGCAACAAAGAGTGTAAAAGCAAGATCATTTACAAATTCAGTAGTAGCGACTCCAACCAAAACATGAAGAAAACATGGATCGCATGAAAAAAAAAATTGCAAAGGAAACAGTCATGATGGTGTGATAGACAATGTTACCATCAGCCCAGATCAGTGGGATTTGTTTTTTTGGAAGAGAAAAAGTTCTTCCGGCTGTTCACTAAGAATATTAACTCTGAAAATGGTCTAAAAAAAAAGATATAGATCAATCAGTGTGCTTGAAACATGGTTGATTGGCCACATTGAATAAAGTGAATTAGCAGGAGACATGTACCAGCATGCTTCGGGAGCTCTCTTGCTTTACCTCTTTGTAAAAGTTGTATTCATTGTTAGCGATGTTAGATTGTTAGCCCGTCTTGTATCAGAACTGGTTACATTGATTATAAAATGTGTCCCTACTATATGAATAATAAAATGATATTGTACGAATTTCAACATTTCTGGCTTTTTTCGGTGGGTTTCCACGGACAACATATCCTGACAGTTGCACCAAAAGCATTTTGACATATTTTCAACTGCAAATAGAACCTATCAGCCTTTCAGTCAGCTTTTCTTATTCAGGGTTCCATGAAGGTCATTAGAGGTTCTGTGAGTAGATAACAGTGGACAATTGATCTCCTGCTTGATATTGCATACATAGTTACAGCACCAACACCACTTGCCAGAAACATTGCTGTGGCATTATAGAACATCTCTCATGTCTCAGGTAATTAAACACTGACACAAATGATCTTTTTACAGTAGCTGCCTATAAAAGGGACAACGTTGTAAGGGGGCATCTCTCCCACTGATGATGCTTACATACCATGAACTGTACATATGATATTTTTTTACAGAATGTAGTGCTAGGGAATATTTTTGACTGAAGTGTTTACTGTGGTCTTCAAGGAATAGGCTTACACAAATACAAAGTATAAAAAGTTAAGTATCTTTACTGATTTAAAGACGTTACAGATGAAAAGTAGAATAGCACATATGTATACAAGAAGCAGTGAATTACCTGCATACACATATGCAGTCAAAACAGAACAATCTATATACCCTGGTTTAAAATATAACCAAACCCAAGAGCAAAAATGTAATAAATTGCATCTTACTAGTCCTCCGTTGTGATGACTGAATTCATTTTCTTTTTTCAAGCTAAGCGCATTTTCATACAGAAAAATAACTGTTGATCTTGCCAGAAGCCTTGTGTCCTAGTCACTTCCTTTGCATTGAACTGAAATAATCAGACTTCCCATCTTCCTTAAATAAGTGTGCCACCTTCCTATATTATGGAGATAATTCTAGACACCACCTCTAAGGTCAATAAAGTATTTGTTAAACTTAATCTGGCCCTTCAGAGCTCTAATGGTGCAAGCAACGTTAATTTGGGGGTTTGTGAGCTTTATTTTTTATATTTATATAGAATCACTATTATTCCATACATACCATCTGACATATTAATCTAGGCAGCACCTGAACTTCAACTGCCACAGCTAAAATGTCATTGTGCAGTCTTCGTACGTCTTTATTTAGGTTTACCAACAACATTGTCGATGCAGGGCCTACCTAAGCAATTTATAGCTAGTCAGACGGTGTCTTCTACTACATAGTTCTTTATAAATCCAAAGGAATTTGAAAAATCAGATTGTAGCATGTGTGGCCTCCTTTTTAAACAGCAGCTTTGGGGGGTATGTTGTTAGGATAGCCATAGACATAAGAAAGTGCAGAACACAACTGCTAAAGGTGATCAATAATTGTCCTGATCCAATTCCCAAATCAATGACTTTTATAAAGCTTAAAGTGACATTACACCCTCAGATTTTTTAACATAAACCAATACTGGAATGTGTGCCTTACTTTAATCCATGGTTGTTTCCCTTCTCTTTGCTGCTCTTCCTTTTAAATCCTTATCTCTTCTCATGCTGGGGGAGAACTTCCCTTTGCAGCTGAGTGACTCTTCCTATAGTGCTGGCTCAGGTTGTGAACCTTCACACAGACACCATGTATCCATTTCAGAGACAAGGCAGTCTGCTGCAAAACAGAAGTTCTGCCCAGCATGAGAAGAGATACAGATTTAAAAGGAAGAGCAGCAAAGAGAAGGGAAACAACCATGGATTACAGTAAGGCGCACATTATAGTATTGTTTTATGTTAAAAAATCTGAGGGTTTAATGTCACTTTAAGTGAGGATGTGGATGTTTGAGGCTACCTTGGGGTGTTTACTGACCAATGGAAACACTGTTTGTCTCACAGTTAGAAGTGAATGAGTGTTCATTTCCATGAGATTTCCGCAAAACTGGAAATTTCAGTAAAAATGCTATTTTGGCTAACCTCATTGTAATCAATGTGGAATGTGAAATTAGGTGGTTTTTGATGGCTTCTTAAGGGTGCTAGGGCTCCTGGGGGTTAAGGAACCTCCATTCAGCGCTCCAGGTCTTCTCATGTGCCAAACAATCGCCCCTCATTAGCCTTAGATTTAAAACATTTTACAGAAAGAAAAAAAAAAAGTATAAATCACAAATGCAAAAACACTAAATTAAAATAACATACTACATTAAATAACCCGGAAAAAAACACGTCTGTAAAGAAATAAAAAATAATAGATTGGTTTTTTTTTTCCCCAAGCAAATTCAGCTTAAGCAACTCAATTAATTAAATTGAGATCTTCTGCACCAGTGATTTTTTTCTGTAATTTCACAGTGACATAATATTGCTAACATCATTCTGCTCATCTACACTCATCTTGTTTGAAAATCTTAGTGTCTGGCCAATCTTTTCCTGCTCCCAAAAAGTATAGGGAAGGCAGGTAATAACTTGTAGGCAGCTTTTGTCTGTCAGACAAGTCACACAAGAAACGGCTGTAGGTCCCAGAGCTATAGAGGACAGGCAGATGCTCCCCATCATTCTCAAGAAGACATCAGAACATCTTTGGCTAGCCTCAGAACCAGAAATAGGCATAATAGAGTGATACTTAAGCATATAATCATACTTATGGGCACATTTCAGGAGGCACAGTTCTGACTCATAGAAGAATAGCTGGAAAATCAGAAAAAAAATTGCTGTTATATAATGGGGGACACTGATAAGGACAGAAAAAAAGAGCTTAGAGGCATTTTTTGGGAGTTGCTCTATTAAAATGTTGATTGCCTTCCTTCACTGATAAGCCATGTTAGTCTCTCAGACTTCAGGGCAGTAAAAGTTGACAGAATCTCCAAAAACTTTAACAGTATTCTAAGACTAAAAGCCAGTTAGAATAACATTGGATTCACCCTGCTGCTTGATAAATTTCATTTTTATAGCAGTGCAAAAATTGTAGCTATATTTTTTCTATCTTGTATTTTGGTGTATCTTTATTTTTGTTGTCTGTGATCAAATGAATTTCTGCTAAATGTTTATTGGGATGACATTGGACTTTATGGGACACTTAAGGGCTTCAGGGGAAATGGAGAGTGGTTTAACACAGATGATTTACTTTGCCAAACTGCAGTTATTTATTTACTGCCTAATTACTGAGGGAAGTTTCATCTATTTCACATGTAACATTTGCTGATACATGTATAGGTTTCTGTATTAGCACACTCTACTTGTTCCAGGTTTGAAGCAGGACAGTTATTAAAACCACAGATACTTGTTCGTATGTATAATGTGGCCTGCACAAATTTTGATTTCAGGTACAAGAGGATTTTAAAGTCCATTACCCACCACCATCCATCATCCTTCATCATTTACCATATCTTTTCTTAACATATATAGTTATAATCATCTGTTTGTCCTAATATGAGTTATAGGATGAGATGGAGTATACCATTTATACATTAATTAATTAATTTATTGTATTATTTAATTATTTTATGTATTCATTCAATCCTTTCTAGGGAGAGGCCAAGGTTAAAAAACTTGGCGATAGATTCTCCCTTACTCAGGATCTCCTCACATTTAACAACTTCAGAATTGCATCTCTTTGACTCAGGATCTTCTCCTATAATAGTCCTAGAGATAATCTCTTTCTATCCTAGTATCTCCTCCCATTAAGGGCCTGGAGATATAATGTCTCTGGCCCAGGATCTCTTCCCTTAAAAGACATGGAAAAAGAATGTCCTTGGACCAAAATTTCCTGCCATTAAAGCCTCAGACATAGAATCTCCCTGGCCCAGGATCTCCTGCCATTAAAGAGTCAGACATAGAGGGGTCTATTCACGAAGCTGCCGAAGGATCTGGCCGTAGCTTCGGCCGATCCTTCAGCTAGCTTCGGCCCCAGTAGAACCGAAGGGGTGCTGTACGGGCTATTGTAAATAGCCCGAACAGCTCACGATCATGGCCGAGCCGAACGCATATGCATCGACTCGGCTGAGCCGTGCTGAAAGCCGAAGCAGGCCGAGCGGCCGGCCATTGGC